CGACTGATTACCAAATGTTTATGTATGGAAAATTAATGTCCGACCAGTTATCAGTTATTGTCCATGGTTGTATACCATACTTAACGTCCGACTGATTACCAAATGTTTATGTATGGAAAATTAATGTCCGACCAGTTATCAGTTATTGTCCATGGTTGTATACCATACTTAACGTCCGACTGATTACCAAATGTTTATGTATGGAAAATTAATGTCCGACCAGTTATCAGTTATTGTCCATGGTTGTATACCATACTTAACGTCCGACTGATTACCAAATGTTTATGTATGGAATATTAATGTCCGACCAGTTATCAGTTATTGTCCATGGTTGCATACCATACTTAACGTCCGACTGATTACCAAATGTTTATGTATGGAAAATTAATGTCCGACCAGTTATCAGTTATTGTCCATGGTTGTATACCATACTTAACGTCCGACTGATTACCAAATGTTTATGTATGGATTACCAAATGTTTATGTATGGAAAATTAATGTCCGACCAGTTATCAGTTATTGTCCATGGTTGTATACCATACTTAACGTCCGACTGATTACCAAATGTTTATGTATGGAATATTAATGTCCGACCAGTTATCAGTTATTGTCCATGGTTGTATACCATACTTAACGTCCGACTGATTACCAAATGTTTATGTATGGAAAATTAATGTCCGACCAGTTATCAGTTATTGTCCATGGTTGTATACCATACTTAACGTCCGACTGATTACCAAATGTTTATGTATGGAATATTAATGTCCGACCAGTTATCAGTTATTGTCCATGGTTGTATACCATACTTAACGTCCGACTGATTACCAGATGTTTATGTATGGAAAATTAATGTCCGACCAGTTATCAGTTATTGTCCATGGTTGTATACCATACTTAACGTCCGACTGATTACCAAATGTTTATGTATGGAATGTTAATGTCCGACTAGTTCTCGGCTGTTGTGCTTTGTTGTATACATATGTATACGGATGTAGATAGGCAATACTGTTCGACCAATGATCACATATTTTTCATGTCTGTATATAGACATTTAATGTCCGAACAATGATCACATATTCCTTTTGGCTGCACAATGATTATGAACAATGAACAATGAGTTTTCCGCGCCTCTAAAAGGATTCTTTCATCGGTTATGATTTCCTTAAGTTTGTTGTACTGTTCAGTAGAGGCTTTGGTCCATGGCAGGCCTATGTTATGCAGAGAGTATTTGGTGTTTGGGTTTGGCTTGTATACTTTGTTCCATATAAACAACCACAGTTAGTTATAGGTACCTGTACTTGTATAACGGTAACTTATATTTCTCCTATTTATTAATGTGGGACCATTCGGTTAGGCCAGTGGTTTAAGCCTTCGCTCGTACCTTGAAGACTCAGATTTGATTCCCAAATCGGAACAATGTGCTATTTGCAAAAAACAATATTACCTCATAGGGTAGCTCACTTAGACAAGTGCTTCCTCTTTTTGTGAACATGTATTAATGACAAGGTCTGACAAGGGCATGTTTTGTCCCAGTGACATTGGTGTTGCGGCGTAAAACTAAACTTACTCACTCACGATCTGGAAAATTTAAGAATTACAGTACATACTGGCAAACAAGGATAAGTTGGACCGGCGCAGAGAACGCGTTTACGAGAAGTAGGTGGTGCACGGCTATTAGCAAACCCATTTGGTTTGTGAAAGGTAGAGCAGTTGTAGGCCAGTGCACGTGCATTGCATGACGATGAAATTGATTCCGCGCGTAGCTGCTCACGTCTTGTTCATAAGACTCTCACTTGGTCGGTGTAGCAAGTCGGACAACCTGGGGCCCCTTCGCTCACAATGGCAAGCGCCAGTGGGCGGCACTCATACATAGAGAATACTACACGAGGTCTCATTAAATACGAATTATACGAAACGAGTGTCCTTCCTATGGTATCTGACCGAGCGAAAGCGAGGTCAGATAACATAGGAAGGTCACGAGTTTCGTATAATTCGTATGTAATGAGACCGAGTGTGGTATTTTATTTATTACCCACGTCTTACATGCATTAAATTGACAAAATAACGTAGTTTTGTTAATATTTTGGTTTCAAACCGAAACCGGTTTCATAAAGAGGTTGCGGAAGAGTTTTGTACTGTAGTGAACAATATTTGCATGACGTCACTGTAATGACGTCACTGCCTTGGTAACCGACGTCACGATGCATGTCAGTTGTCTTCGCCTCGTACAGCCTCCTACAGTAAACTACTCCGTAGCACCCCGTTTCTTGGTTTGCAGTTGCTTCATTCGGCTAACATCACTGGTGGAAACATTGCGTTTACGTTTTCGACGGGTATAATGTCTCAGTTCGACTCACAATAAAACAGCGACACGGCAACGTTCGCGATGTTTACATTCCCACAATGCATTTAGTTGTAGAATGAATGGATCCACGTGTCTGTTATGAATGAAAAAGTAGTTCCGTCACAACATGACCTAACTGAGAGGTCATCGGTTATCCAATCAAATCGTTAGAATCTCAGGTCAAGTCGTTACGACACAGGTCAACGCGATACGACACACGTGTGACGTACGAGATTAGTATGCAACTCCCATACGTTGACCACGTGGGTAATAAATGCTAATACGGGTCAATTGTCAGGTCAGTGCTCAACTTATCCTTGTTTGCCAGTAGAAGTGTGTGCATATTGTGTGAATCCTTCAGTATCACAAAAAGTGTCAAAACGTCTTCATCTCATGCGTAAACTGAGATCTTTTAATGTTAACCCATCTGTGATGTCATCTTTTAATGTAGCATTTATTCAGAGTATTTTAACATTGTCCTTCCATTGTTGGTACGGGTCTCTCTCAGTTCATCTCAAATCTAAAATAGACAAAATTGTTAACACTGCAAGTAAAATCGCTGGAGTCAGATTTGAATGTTTATCATCAATATATGAGCGGCAAATCGTGAATCAAGCTGTCAAAATCATATCTGACCGTACTCACTACTTAAATTCGGAATACAACCTCCTCCCTTCAGGCCGCCGCTACAAAGTTCCAGTTGTGAAAACTAAGAGAGCCCGTACATCCTTTATTCCAAGTACCATATCTCTCTTAAACAAATGTGAAGATACCTAAATCAAAGAAGTTATGTAAATATGTTTGGTACCTCTCTAATGTGTCAGTAGCTCTGCTGATGTAACACAAATTCCTGAAAAGGCATTAAAGTATTATTCTATTCTATTCTATATTCTATATTCGGGTGTTTGATCCAAGTGATTAAAAACATAATACAAATATATGGTGAAACAAGTCATCTTGGGTGTCAGACTACACATCTTTTTTCTTCACTTTTTAGCGTAAAAAAACAAGGCAAATGGCGTAACTGTTCCTGGGGATTGCTAATTGTTCCTTGATTAGGCTCAAAATAATATGTCGATGCACCGGTGCGACGACACGATAGATCTACTCGTTACGGTTTTTCTGAACACGATAAACACTTGTTACATAAATTACTTATCACCCTTTCAAAGACTCCTAGCGGTTTTGTATGTCAAACCTTGCAAAATGTCTGAAACATGCATTATTAAATTACATCAGTAAATTACGTATCGTTTCGTTGCCTATGTATCGTGGTACATGTCATACCGTAACCTCGCTGTATTTCACCCGTACCTTTCATAATAAAGGGAGCATTGCTACGGAACACTTTATAAGAATATGATACTTAAGAGCGCTTCACAATATAATAAAGAGGTTTTTATACATAAAGCATCATGCCTTTCTTATTATTCATCAACTTCTACAATGCCAAACAAACAGACCAACTTTATTAGAAGATCTCAGAAACTGTAAAGTTGACCATCGTACAGTTTACGTAAGCATGACATATATGTCTTCAATATAAAAGTGATTCCTGAGCAAATCATGAATGCAATAATACATTTGGAAGAACTAATAGATCTTGTCGTCTCAGTAAGTCTTCAAATAATTTAATTCTCTTCAATTGTAACCTTGCATGCCATGTATGTCTTCAATACGAAAGTGATTCCTGAGCCTATCATGAATGTAAAAACACATTATGAAAAAATAGTAGATGTTGTCGTCTCATTAAGTCTTTCAAATACCTTAGTTCTCTTCAAACTGTAAACTCTATATATTTAGAGCTCGTTGTGCACTCTGCGAATAAATATAACACATAAGCGACAAATTACTGTTATCAAATATAACAAATTCTGCTAAAAGCAGCGTGCATTGTACGATGCAACTGTATCTTTAGCATGTGTTTTGTATCACTGTCAAATAGTGATAACAACAGGTGTTTGCAAGAAGGTGAGCGTATCCTGCACCACCGGCGACATCCATCACAAATACATGCAAATGCAAGCCAATTATTCATCTACAGGGACATGGGAACACATGGTACAAGTCAAAACTCGGAAGTTGAAGTGTCCCAAATTGTTCTTAATATTGTGTATTGGTTAAAAATTGATCCATGCCAAGAAATGTCATCTAAAATGTTCTTACAGTAATTCCATGTCTCCATGCCAGGAAAATGAAATCTGACATGGTTTTGTTTCAATAAAACAATATGCGTTCATTATAAAGCATTAATGTCGTTATTAAGTAAACCATATTGATTAAAAATGTAGACCACTGCATACATCAAAGGGATGTATGTTCATCCATGGTGGCATGTGTTATGTAGACGTACGCTTAATCTCCGAATTTATATGATTTTGATAGAAACTCATAACTCTAAATTGAAAATGGGACCAGCGAGAAGGGAGATGTCTGAAATGGAGGAAAATCTAGACTTGATTCAGTAACCATAATTTTGAAAGGAACCCATAACTCATAAATGAAAATGTGGCCAGTGAGAAGGAGAAATGGAGGAAAATCTAGACTTGCTTCAGTTTAGAGTTTTGTATTACTATTACTTAAAGGACTGGGCAGAAGCGAAATACATACCATTCCGAGACTGTGAGACAACAAATGTTGTGATAAAAATGTTCTATCATTCATCGCACCATCCTGGAATCATTACATTCAGCCTACTGTACTCTTTAGTCATCGGTGTACTCTTAACATAGGGAACAGACAGATTCATATGGTGATGCAGTCTCCCAATAAGCTTCTCCACAATGTCAGGGAAGTCCTCAGAAATGTCATGTTCCTCCAAGGGGTCTTCGTGTAGATTAAAAAGACCATACCTCTTTGCTATAGGTTTTCCAAACCTGGTCTTCTCGCTCCCGATGTCTTCCGGAGCTATCCAGCCATTTGCAGTCCTTCTACCCCTACCTATGAAATCAAAAACAGGTTGATGTTCACCCAACTGGAAGCCAGGATCTCCTTTGATGAGTTTGTATTTCCCAACACGAATCGCAGCCCTTCCTTCAATGTTGTACACGTGCTCTGACCTTACTGGTTGTGCTCCTTTGCTGATGACGTCCCATTGGTTAACGCCGTCAATGTCAAGGTCGACGTGCTTGCTTCCGGCAGCTGCCAGAAAGGTTGGGAGCCAGTCGGCAGCGTTCATCAAATGATTGCTCACAGAACTGGAGTCTTTTAAGAGGGTTTTGCTGTACACAAAGTTAACTGCCCTCGTCCCACCTTCCCAGAGGGTATTTTTTATTCCACGCAACGGCCAGTTATATCCACCTTTAAGCGGTCGGCCGCCATTATCACTGAGGAAGACCAACAGAAGATTGTCTGAGAGACCTCTTTTTTCTAGCGCACTGACCACGTCTCCGATGGCTTCATCCATAGCTGTCACCATTCCGCTATAGGTAGCGCGATTGCGATTCAGATGGGAATACATATTTGAGTATTTTGGAGGTACCTGGAGAGTTCCATGGACGGCTTGGAAGGGTAGATACAGAAACAATGGCACTGATGGGTTGTGCTGTTGGATTATATCAACCGCTCGATCACGGAAGAGAAAAGTCGAATACTGTTGTTGCGTATCATTATAAACTTTAGTGTTGAAGTTAAAATCGTATATCTTACCTATTTTATGGGTGTAATAGTCCTCCCTCCCGCTGTAATAACCGAAGAAGGAGTCGAACCCTCTGAAGGTAGGAGTGTGCTTCCAACTGCACAGTCCGAGGTGCCACTTGCCTACTATATGCGTGGCGTAAACCAAGTTTTTCAGCTTACGGGGTAATATATCAAATGAAAGTGGAAGTGACCTATCACCGTGGTTGATCACTTGATACTGAAGTCCTATTCTATGGGGATAATATCCTGTCATTAGTGAAGCTCTTGTAGGCGAACACCGAGGCGCAACATAGGAGTAATTGAGGATCAATCCACTTCTCGCAAGCTTCTCGAGATTTGGCGTGATCATGTTTGGATTGTGCCAGCTGACGTCACTCCATCCGAGATCGTCTGCCACAATGAAGACTATGTGGGGAGGGGATGGGCTTCGGCTTGACAGTCTCAGCGCGAAGAAATGAAGCTGTTTGTTGAAGCTGTATAAAATCACAGCTGTCACTACGAGCGAGACGACAGTTATGACGACAAACAGAGTCTGGATTTTCAACTTCATTGTATTTTCTTCCTGGTAAGGCTTGAGTAAAGTGGGCACATGCTTTTTCGCATTTCCTAGATGTATAAAAAAAAGACAGGTTCATTGTAATGTTCATTAAAACGGCAAAGCGGTAGGAATATTGATATTAATTTTATCTGTCTTGTATATACATATATTCAGAGAAATATCTAATTGGCCAAAGTAAGCTCGCTGATATCACCTGGCAACATAGATGATCAAGTGTTGGAAAATAAAAACAAGTTGGCGTTTGGTCAAAAATATGTTTGTGGTAACTGTCGGTGACAGCAAATGATGGAACTGCTAGTTATAACAATATCAGGGGCTGCCATGATAGCAGATACGGTTTTTACTTTTGTAAGTGTTATCTGCCCTTATGAACGTGAAACACTACGTCTTGGTCGTTCCATAAGTTTCTGGACGTAACAGTTTCTGAAAAGCCTACTTTCTTTTAAAGAGTGACAAAAGGCCACCCCAAATCCCGGACCTGGCTTGTTCATGATCTTAGACTGACTGACTGAGTTTGGTTTTACGCCGCTTTTAGCAATATTCCAGCAATATCACGGCGGGGACACCAGAAATGGGCTTCACACATTGTACCCATGTGGGGATTCGAACCCGGGTCTTCGGCGTGACGAGCTAATGCTTTAACCACTAGACTACCCCACCGCCCCTCATGATCTTAGACCAGCACGGGTTAGATATGTACAATACATACATAGTTTTGGAAACACTGTCAGCTAGTTCAATACATTCAACAGTAACAATACTCTGAACATTCCTTAGTGCACATATATTAATTTTAAGGCTTGTTGAGTATTGATACTGCCACTAATTTTACCTGCCTCCGTATTGATGTGTGTTTAGATACTAATATATTTTATTGATGACTCATTGATCTAAACTAATTCCACAGTTAAGTTCTGGGTTAACATCTATGTATAGATTCAGAAATAACCTGGAACAAACAGCTCGCTGGTCCGTCATCAGCACCTGAAGTTGTCCACTGTCATTCCATAGTCAACTGTCACATCATTGTGACAATGTGTGGTCTACTGATACGTCACTATGACAATGTATAGTCCACGTTCGCGTTATTATGACAAAGGACAGTCCACTGTCACGGTTTTAAAACAATTTATAGTCCACTGTCACGTCATAATGACAATGAATAGTCAACTATCACGTCATTGTGACAATAGATTGTCCTTTGTCACGTCATTATGGCAATGGATAGTCCACTGTCACGTCATTATGACAATGGATAGTCCACTGTCACGTCATTATGGCAATGGATAGTCCACTGTCACGTCACTATGACAATGTATAGTCCACGTTCGCGTTATTATGACAAAGGACAGTCCACTGTCACGGTTTTAAAACAATTTATAGTCCACTGTCACGTCATAATGACAATGAATAGTCAACTATCACGTCATTGTGACAATAGATTGTCCTTTGTCACGTCATTATGGCAATGGATAGTCCACTGTCACGTCATTATGACAATGGATAGTCCACTGTCACGTCATTATGACAATGGATAGTCCACTGTCACGTCATTATGGCAATGGATAGTCCACTGTCACGTCACTATGACAATGTATAGTCCACGTTCGCGTTATTATGACAAAGGACAGTCCACTGTCACGGTTTTAAAACAATTTATAGTCCACTGTCACGTCATAATGACAATGAATAGTCAACTATCACGTCATTGTGACAATAGATTGTCCTCTGTCACGTCATTATGACAATGGATAGTCCACTGTCACGCCATTATGACAATGGATAGTCCACCGTCACGTCATTATGACAATGGATAGTCCACTGTCACGTCATTATGGCAATGAATAGTCCACTGTCACGTCATTGTGACAATAGATTGTCCACTGTCACGTCATTGTGACAATAGATTGTCCTCTGTCACGTCATTGTGACAATGGATAGTCCACCGTCACGTCATTATGACAATGGATAGTCCACTGTCACGTCATTATAACAATGGATAGTCCACTGTCACGTCATTATGACAATGGATAGTCCACTGTCACGTCATTATGACAATGGATAGTCCACTGTCACGTCATTATAACATAGGATAGTCCACTGTCACGTCATTATGACAATGGATAGTCCACTGTCACGTCATTATGACAATGGATAGTCAACTGTCACGTCATTATAACAATGCATGATACACTGAAACGTCATTATGACAATGGATAGTCCACTGTCAAATCATTATGACAATGGATAGTTCACTGTCACGTAATTATAGCAATGGACAGTCAATTGCCATGTCATTATGTCAAAGAATGATCCACTGACACGTCACGATGGATAGTCCACTGTCACGCGTACGTGATCATAACAATGGGCGGGCCACTGTCAAATCGTCAACACAATAAGTAGCCAAATGACACGTCATAATGAATAGTCAAGTCGACATGACAATGTATATTCCACTGTCACTAAGAATGGAAGTGCACTGGTAATTGAACTTAAATTCAATTCAACGTCAGTATGAAAAGTCATCCTGATTATTAGTCCACTGTCAAATCAACATAACAATAAACATTACATTACATCTTCACAATGAATAATATAATAATGAACATAACAATAAAGCGGATTTAAATCGGCTCATAAATTTGCAGATACACAACGCATGCGCAAATGAACGAAGACGTCATATCACATACACTATAGTCTGTACAAACCAAAGTCTACGGAGAATGGAACTGACGTCAGACCGGTCATTCCTCAAGGCAAAGTTCTCGCCATATTACCTGATCTAGCGTCTCTGGTGTCTTGTGACATGGTCAGGTTTCACAACTTACCTCGGAATGGTCAGGCAGCGAGCGAGCAATGCGTGCATGAAGCCGTGATATTGATATCAGGCTGGGTATAAAGGTATTGCCGCTAAGCACGTGTTACCTCAAAGCGACATCTGTTGTAGACATGCATTGAACAGGAATCGACTTGAATTACCACGACCATACAATGTCCCCTGTATGTTTCTGTCGATGAATGTTTTAGTCATAAAATACAATAACGGCTAAACCTACTTGAGCTGAAGCCATTGGTGACCCGGCCGTTATAATCGATGTCATTACACCAGTTTAGTATGTCTATCTTGGGGAATAACAAAAAAACGCAGACACGGGACGATTTTACGACACTTTTTGTCCATTGAGTTTAATTTCATCCCGGCTTCCAGGTGTCCATTGTCATCGCCCAACAGCGCTAATTAACGGTTAAGTAGTGGCCTCCGTTTTTGTCTTTTTACCTTTGTGGGAGGTGAGATGAAATTGGGTTGTGCGTGTATGTGTATGTGCAGCTGCTTGTACTAGCCCAGACTGAAGCTGGTTTTATAGTGCTAGCCCACTGAGGTACCATGCCGCAGTGAAGCATGAATACCCCACTCAGACACATTATACTGACTCCGAGCCGACCAGTCCTTGTTGTACCCATTAATGCCGAACGCCAGGCAGGACCAACAAGTACCATATTTTAACGTCTTTTGGTATGACGCGGTCGGGGATCGAACCCTCGACCTTCCGCTCTCCGGGCGGACGCTCTAACCACTACACCACGGAGGCGGTCTTTTACCTTTGTTGTTCTAACATGTACATATATATGTTCTCTGTCTCATAGCATTCATTCTCCTCATGAAGGAATAATTATATACTCTGTGGTTGTATTCCTCATAATAAAGAAGCTGACATCCATAAAATTCTTGAATACATGACACGTTTTATGGAAACAACTTATTTTTATTCTCTATATGACGATTCAGAGCTAATTCCTGCTCCTTCATCGGGTGAATGAAAACAAAGAAGAGGTTTTTATCCAAAAAGTGTCTTGTATTCATGTTCGTCAAACTTCCAAATGCCTTCCAAGAACATAAAATTCCTGTCTTGTGAATGTGTGACGATGTTCTTTGGGGATTTTATATCCTGGGGTGTTTATTGGGGACAACTGCATCCACAAACACGGGAGTCAACCAGTCACAACTATAGTCTTTATTCGTGATTTGATATTGTCGTAACTGCCGATTGGGCGTCAGTAGACCCTACAACAGTCACCTGCTTAATATTGCCGTTCCACAATGTTAGACTGACTGACTGAGTTTAGTTTTACGCCGCTTTTAGCAATATTCCAGCAATATCACGGCGGGGGACACTAGAAATGGGCTTCACACATTGCCACAATGTTAGAGGAGATGGTAGCTCAGGCTCTCCACTCGTTTGGTTGACGGATGCTCAGTCCAGGAGTGAGGGTTCGGACGACCTGGACTCCCAGCTAACAACATCACAGTGAGTCAGTGAGTGAGTGTGAATGAGTGAAGCCCATACAGCATTTCTGGTTCGTTCAAAGTTACATCATTCGGCCATATTTGCGTCTACTAATGCAGGTACGACCACAGGTCATCGTGTCTTTGCGAGGATTAAAGATTTTGAAAAAATATATAAAATTTTGAGATGACCCCAGGCTCGAAATGCTTCACAGTACAATACATCATGATGTTTTGTTGACGAGTCAAGGAGTGAGGGGTCGGACGACCGGGACTCCCAGCTAACAACAACACAGTGAGTGAGTGAGTGAGTGAGTGAGTTTAGTTATATGGCGGCGGTCTGTAAAAAATCGAGCCTGACCAGACAATCCAGTGATCAACAGCATGAGCATCGATCTGCGCAATTGGGAACCGATGACATGTGTCAACCATGTCAGCGAGCCTGACCACCCGATCCGTTAGTCGCCTCTTACGACAAGCATGGGTTACTGAAGATCAAATCTAACCCGGACCTTCACAAGTAAGTAAGTATACAAACATATGGACATACAGACAGGACAGATTAAAATATAAACCACCCGGCCTATGAGACACGAGGTATCAGTAGATTCATAGAATAGAATAATAGAATTATAGTCAGGTGATCCAAATTATAACATATGTTACAATGTGAATGTAGCTTTTAAGTCTCTGTATGGTCCCCCCCCCAAAAAAGCAAGCAGTGACAAGCGTCAGAAGTGCACTATTTACAATGCCATTTGCCTCTTATACATAGCAGTAACAACTGCGGCTGGGGGAATAGCTGAACTATCATTTTGCATAATGTTTTAAATTGATCCACTGGGGTGAAATTGACATGTACTGGCTCACATTCATACAATAATTAAATCAATACTAGATCCTATACTCACATAGATTTACTCAATCACTCTCATCATTACATGGTGACCGGATAGGCTCTTTACCAAATGTGGAACTGCAACTATCGCGATGCGAATGTTCTACTGACTGTAAAACCCGCACCACCTGTCGAGTGCTGGCGGTGTTCGCTCGTCACTTGTGCCGATACAACATTTCTGGTTCGTTCAAAGTTACATCATATTCGGCCATATAAGCATCTACTGGTGCAGCTACGACCACAGGCCATCTTGTCTTTGCGAGGATTAAAGATTTTAAAAATATATTAAAATTATTTTAGATGACCCCCGACTCACAGCTTCTCAGTACAATACATCATGATGTGTACTGTGAAGCATTTCGAGTCGGGGGTCGTCTCAAATTTATATATATATTTTTTTAAATCTTTAATCCTCGCAAAGACACGAGGGCCTGTTGCTACGACAACAGCATGAGTATCGATGTACGCAACTGGGATACGATGACACCGACTCTTTAGTTGCCTCGTACGACAACCATTTTTGGCTGGAGAAGCAAGTGTAGATTTTCCTTAGGTTCGGTTTCGAATGTCCCATCTTACTTTGAATACTGTTCACTTTAAACAGAGTTATTTGTTTCTATCAAAATAATAATATATGTCTTAGTCTAATTAGTCTAATTTCGACTTCTGAGAGAAAGGAGGGAAATTGACTTCTGGAGGAGAGATAGAGAGAGAGAGAGAGAGAGAGAGAGGAGAGAGAGAGGGAGAGAGAGAGAGAGAGAGGGAGAGAGAGAGTGAGTGAGTGAGTTAACATTTTAAGTCACATCGGCAATATTTCAGCCATATCGTGACTAAAGCAAGTTATAAATATAAGAACAATTTAAGTGAAATTATAAAATTCTGCCGACGAAGGACAGTAAAATAACTAGATTATCACAAATATAGATATAAAACTAGTAACTAAATCTAAAACATTTGAACTATACAAGACGATACAATATAAAAAACAGGCTATTGATCACCAACAACTGAAGGTAGATCACCATACTAGGAACCATGGGGACTTACATTACTTTTGCTACCTGCATGGGCCTTAGTTGGATTTACACCATCCCTTCAGCCATTGGCGACAGAAGAGAAATCTAGCCATAAATTAAAAGCACACATATTCTACGATTAAAAACCTGGTACACTTAAATTCTTAAATTGACTTTGAAAGTTTTGGGACTTACGTACCCTCTGGAGAGAGAGAGAGAGAGAGAGAGAGAGAGACAGTCTTTATTTCCTCAAGTAGTTACCGAAGATTACAAACCACAACATCATATCATTACAACACGTACATGAATATTAACAATTGGATGTTTTGAGACATATGTACAGGAAGTTATGACATGAAGAGAATCATTCTGTATAGCAGTTCACAAGGTGAGGTTTCAGGTCATATACATACAAAGAAAAGCGTAACAGTATGGTTTCCCATAGTGTTGAATCTATAGAGTTATAAAAGTCGTTTTCTGCTCCGAAGAGAAATGACAACATATCTTGTTCACTTTGCATTTCAAATATTACGTAAGTTTCAACATCAAGTTTATCAATTAAGTATGCAAAGATATCATTTCGTTGTTGTATTAGGTTTTCACAGTGGAGAAGCATATGGAAATCATAGTCAAATGTTTGTTTATTACAAAGAGCACACTCTTTTGAGATTTTACCTCTTGATAATATTTTGACACAAAATTGCAAGGAAGATTTATAATTAGGGTGTTTATATGCCAGTTGCCAGAGAGTATGATAAGAGAGTGTAGTAGGAGTTGTTGCGTAAAATGACATGTTTGAACGATAGAGAGTTTGAGATCGCCAAAACTGTTCTTCATAACTATGTACAGTAGTATTTACAATTCTTCTCCATACCCGTTTTGGAGGAAATATGCCTTGAGCAATATAATTGTCAACAAATGTATTTAGATTATACTTTTCAGATATTGATAAAAGATCATCACAGATGTTGTTAGATTTTACTGAAGTTGTAATAGCAGCACAACAGATATGTTTCGCAAAGTTGTTACACTCAGTGTTACATAGTCGCCCAAGAAAAAGTAGTTAACATTTATCGATATACCAATTAGTGACCATAATCCCAAATTTGCATTGATAGATATTGATGATGACCTCTTACCAAGACCTTGCACTAGACGAGCAAAGTACCTTTGGAGTCAGCCTGTTGGACTTTGATGTTTGGTAATACTTCACAGCCATAGAGACTAGTTTTAAGGATCATTCTGAGCCATATTTTAACACAAGTGATTGGATGTAGGCCAGAATCATTCAGTCCAATAGATCTAAGTGAGTTTACATTCTGTCTTGCTTTCTGACAATACTTTTCACTTCTAGTTTTTGTTAAGAGGTTACTTGTAAAGAGTACAGCCCCATATACGGTAGATTCTGATAAGGGGATTGGGATGTTACCAGTGCTACAGTGGGTGTTTACATCATTGCCTTTTCATTTGCTAATAACGATGATGGTACTTTTTGATGGGTTATATGTTAGACGCCATTTAGAAGCGTATGAAGAGACAATATCCAGTGATACCTGTAGGCCATTAGGGGATGTGCTTATGAGTGTAGTATCGTCAGCAAGCAAGACAGTTGGAACGTCCATACCAAAGACACGGATACCACAGCCAGCTTCTCTTAAAGATGTAATTAGGTCATTAATAAAAATGAGAAAAAAACAAGAGGATATAAGCCATATCTGCAAAAATCCTAAAGGAAGCAAGTGTCGATTTTCCTTAGGTTCGGTTTCGAATCTCACATCTTACTTTGATTACATTTCACTTTAAACAGAGTTATTTCTTTCTATCAAAATAATAATATATAAGTCTAAGTCTAAATTCGACTTATATACTTCTGTTTTGTCATTGTTAACATATTTGGTTGGAGACAACATTCGTGGTATTGGTCATCCGCCTATCCGCAATGGAGTGAGTGAGTGAGTTTAGTTTTAAGCCGCACTCAGCAATATTCCAGCTATATGGCGGCGGTCTGTAAATAATCGAGCCTGGACCAGACAATCCAGTGATCAAGAGCATGAGCATCGATCTGTGCAAATGGGAACCGATGACATGTGTCAACCAAGCCAGCGAGCCTGACAGATCCCGTTAGTCACCTCTTACGACAAGCATGGGTTACTGAAGGCCAATATTCTAACCCAGACCATCACGGGTCCTGTCCGCAATAGAAAGCCCTAAAGGAAGTTAAGTCTATATTTTCAGAACTTTCCTTCTCACTTCGGGGTTTTTTTCAGTGTAAATGGAAATATTTGTGTCCATCAACATTATATGTATTCAAGACTTGCATTAGTCTGGGAAGGGCGGTGGGGTAGCCTAGTGGTCAAAGCGTTCGCTCCTCATGCCAAAGACCTGGGTTCCATTCCCCACATGGGTACAATGTGTGAAGCCCTTTTCTGGTGTCCCTTGCCGTGATATTGCTGGAATACTGCAAAAAGCAGCGTAAAACCCAACTCACTCACTCACTAATTAGTCTATGTGCAGACACATCTCTGGCTTTTGATTGGATCAAGGGACACAACTCCACACCACTAATGGTTCCATCTTCTGGTACAGTATATAATCAGAGGAACACAACTCCACACAACAAATGGTTCCATCTTCTACAGTGGCACATGTAAAATCAAGGGACACAACTCCACACCACAAATGATTCCATCTTCTGGTACAGTATATAATCAAGGGACACAACTCCACACCACGAATGGTTCCATCTTCTGGTACAGTATATAATCAATGAGGAAATACCATGTTGTATTCTGTTTTCATCATCCTAAATCAAGAGCTGGTCTAAGAAAGGTTAAATCAGGTATGAGTGGTTATAATTCTTGAAGTTGATGATATCAAATACTTGATAGAAAAGAAACAGGATATTAGAAAACTACCTGAAGAGTAACAGGTTTCCATGAAGTTTAGTGAGTGAGTGAGTTGGGTTTACACCATTTTTTTCAATATTCCAGCAATATCACGAAAGGGGACACCAGAAATGTGTTTACATTGTACCCTTGTGGGGAATCGAACGTGGTCTTTGGTGTGACGAGCAAACACTTTAACCACTGTGCCACCCACCAACACATCCAGACCAGGTGAGAAATAGGATTCAGTTGACAAAATGAACACAGTAAAACAGCAAAATACAAAATTTATTATTAAAATAAAAATCTGTATGACCAGTGTAACAAGTAATATTTCACAGAATGCTATCTTCATCAAAGTCATCAAGAATCGGTGTTCTCCGTTCGGTGTTTCAGTCCATAGTGGTCGTTCCTCCGCAATAACTTCTCTGGGGGATCAACAACATCTGGATCATCATACTTTGTTGTGATCAAGGTCTCCGTCCGAATGAACTGTCTCTTTGTGTTTTGAGCTCCGAATCGGATGAGTTTCTCGCCATGGTACCTAAACAAATCAAAACAGTGGTTAAAATATGGAGAGGTTCCTGGTAACATTTGCTTTGCTGCACTGGTCTCTCACTGTCTGAAATGACACGACATGGCCCTGGTGCTGAGAGTGAGTGTAGTTTTATGCCGCACTCAGCAATATTCCAGCTATATCTGCAAATAATCGAGTCTGGACCAGACAATCCAGTGATCAACACTATGAGCATTGATCTACATTATTGGAATATGATGACATGTTTCAACCATGGGTTAATCAATCAGTGTCTGACCACCCGATCCCATTAGTCTGCCTCTTACGACAAGCATGGGTTACTGGAGATCAATTCTGACCCGGATCTTCACGGGGTACGACAAGCATGGGTTACTGAAGATCAATTCTGACCTGGATCTTCACGGGGTACGACAAGCATGGGTTACTGAAGATCAATTCTGACCCGGATCTTCACGGGGTACGACAAGCATGGGGTACTGAAGATCAATTCTGACCCGGATCTTCACGGGGTACGACAAGCATGGGTTACTGAAAATCAATTCTGACCCGGATCTTCATGGGTCTGGTGCTGAGAATCAATGTTATCTTTACATGCAGTACTGTCATTTAAACATTCCTCAGCCAAATTACATATGAGCTTGATAGGAAACATTATGCCAAACACCAGATACAATACAGAGTGGCAGAGTAGATAAAAGTTTATTGATCTTCAAGAGTATTTCAGTTTGAACACTGCCACTTTTATGGAAGATGTACAACAAAGGGTGCAGATCATGAGACAGCACACAGCTGAAGCCTACAAGCACAGTTATATCATGGTACAGAACGACTAATAATGGATGGAATTTGAAACCATTAACAGCATTATGCACAGCTTTCCATTCTCTAGTACAGATCAGGAAATGACAGGTAAAATATGACTTGGCTTGGTAATGGACACGACTCTTAGTCAATGATATAGTAGAAATATAGGGTTAAAACTATAATCACTATCATTTTTATTTAATTTTTTTTCATTATCCTTTATTATTGTTAGTATTTATACATTTTATTTTCTATATCTTATTTTATTTATTTATTTTTATATTTTATATATTCATTGCTAATAATTTATTGTATCATGTCCAGTACAATGCATCTCTACATGAAAAAAAAGACCCCCCCCAAAAATGTTAATCAGCTTAACTAAACCCTTTGGCGAGAGAGCGAGTGAGTGAGTGAGTTTTACGCCACACTCAGCAATATTCCAGCTATATGGCAGCAATCTGTAATTAATCGAGTCTGGACCAGACAATCCAATGATCAACAGCATGAGCATCGATCTACGCAATTGGGAACCAATGACAAGTGTCAAGCAAGTCAGAGAGCCTGACCACCAAATCCTGTTAGTCTCCTCTTACGACAAGCATGGGTTACTAAAGATCAATATCCTAACCCGGATCTTCACGGAGTGAGTGAGTGAGTGAGTGAGTGAGTCCTATCTAAACAGGTTTAAAACCACTTTGAACATTATTCCAGGTACATCACAGAGCGAAAGCAAGTGATGAAGTGATGCAGATGTTCACCACTTTGGTTAAATCCATGAGGGGCGGTGGTGTAGTCAGTCAGTTAAACCCATGAGGGGCTGTGGGGTAGTCAGTCAGTTAAACCCATGAGGGGCGGTGGGGTAGTCAGTCAGTTAAACCCATAAGGGGCGGTGGGGTAGTCAGTCAGTTAAACCCATGAGGGGCGGTGGGGTAGTCAGTCAGTTAAACCCATGAGGCGGTGGGGTAGTCAGTCAGTTAAACCCATGTGGGCGGTGGTGTAGTCAGTCAGTTAAACCCATGATGGGCGGTGGTGTAGTCAGTCAGTTAAACCCATGAGGGGCTGTGGGTGTAGTCAGTCAGTTAAACCCATGAGGCGGTGGGGTAGTCAGTCAGTTAAACCCATGAGGGGTGGGGGTAGTCAGTCAGTTAAACCCATGAGGGGCGGTGGGGTAGTCAGTCAGTTAAACCCATGAGGGGCGGTGGGGTAGTCAGTCAGTTAAACCCATGAGGGGCGGTGGGGTAGTTAGTCAGTTAAACCCATGTGGGGCGGTGGTGTAGTCAGTCAGTTAAACCCATGATGGGCGGTGGTGTAGTCAGTCAGTTAAACCCATGAGGGGCGGTGGTGTAGTCAGTCAGTTAAACCCATGAGGGGCGGTGGTGTAGTCAGTCAGTTAAACCCATGAGGGGCGGTGGGGTAGTCAGTCAGTTAAACCCATGAGAAGCGGTGGGGTAGTCAGTCAGTTAAACCCATGAGGCGGTGGGGTAGTCAGTCAGTTAAACCCATGAGGGGCGGTGGGGTAGTCAGTCAGTTAAACCCATGAGGGGCGGTGGGGTAGTCAGTCAGTTAAACCCATAAGGGGCGGTGGGTAGTCAGTCAGTTAAACCCATGAAGGGCGGTGGGGTAGTCAGTCCGTTAAACCCATGAGGGGCGGTGGTGTAGTCAGTCAGTTAAACCCATGAAGGGCGGTGGGGTAGTCAGTCAGTTAAACCCATGAGGGGCGGTGGGGTAGTCAGTCAGTTAAACCCATGAGGGGCGGTGGGGTAGTCAGTCAGTTAAACCCATGAGGGGCGGTGGGGTAGTCAGTCAGTTAAACCCATGAGGGGCGGTGGGGTAGTCAGTCAGTAATACCCATGAGGGGCGGTGGGGTAGTCAGTCAGTTAAACCCATGAGGGGCGGTGGGGTAGTCAGTCAGTTAAACCCATGAGCACAAGCATGGTGCTGACAAAGCCAGAAACATAATGAAAAACCAAGTTTCCCCAAGGGATGCAACTCCGCCCAGCACACTGCAGTGCCATAAAGGGCAGGGTAACCAGTGCCCCTTCCAACTGTAAACAGTGAGTGACCACCACCACCATATAGCTGGAATATTACTGAGTGTGGCATTAAACAACAAACAAACAAACAAAACACTAAACAATATGTCAGTAAGGTTTTATGCCACTTTTAGGACTACTGAAGCAACATCACGGCTGGATGTACCAGAAAGGAGCTTCACATACAGTACCCATGTGTGGAATCAAACCCAGGTCTTCGGCGTGACAAGTGAGAGCATAACCACAAGGCTACCTCGACGCTCCCAACTTGATAGAACAACATCATGCTTTAAAACTTCTGATGTATAATACGAGCAGCACTTACCCAAATCCCTTCTTGTCCCGAGGGTGTTGTCCATCGTTGTCCAGGGCGTCGGATATTCCAGTGATGGTGTTCCCCAGCCCCTGTCCTTCCTGCCAACCCTGACGTTCCAGCACCTTCCGTCCAATGCCTTTCGTATGTTTTTCAAACTTCCCGATGCCCACAGAGAACCGGTCTGTTTCTTCCAGGCCCTGGCGGCGCCGCTGATCCTGACGGAGGGTGATGTAGTCCCTGGCGTCCAGGTCCCCAGCCCCATCCTCGTAATAACCACTCATGTCGACATTCAGGTCATCTGCCGTCTGCTCGTCAAAGTCTGCAACATGTAGATACAAATCTGGATCATTTCTGTATCACCTAAGCATGAAACTGAAATTCAAATAACATGAGAAGCATGTACATTAACATAGTCAAATAAACATATAATACACAAAAAATACAGAAAACATAGGCCTAATACATGGCAACATCTTAAACCCACCTCCATCCTTCCCCTTCCAGTACTGGGCGTCCGTGTAGAACACCAGCCCACTGCCACCCTCCACTCACCTCCCTCCTTCTCCTGCCAGTACTGGGCGTCCGTGTAGAACACCAGCCCACTGCCACCCTCCACTCACCTCCCTCCTTCTCCTGCCAGTACTGGGCGTCCTTGTAAAACACCAGCCCTCTGCCACCCTTCACTCACCTCCCTCCTTCTCCTGCCAGTACTGGGCGTCTGTGTAGAACACCAGCCCTCTGCCACCCTCCACTCACCTCCCTCCTTCTCCTGCCAGTACTGGGCGTCCGTGTAAAACACCAGCCCACTGCCACCCTCCACTCACCTCCCTCCTTCTCCTGCCAGTACTGGGCGTCCGTGTAAAACACCAGCCCACTGCCACCCTCCTCCACTTCCTCCTCCTTCTCCTGCCAGTACTGGGCATCCGTGTAAAACACCAGCCCACTGCCACCCTCCACTCACCTCCCTCCTTCTCCTGCCAGTACTTGGTGTCCCTGTAAAACACCAGCCCACTGCGACCCTTCTCTCACCTCCCTCCTTCTCCTGCCAGTACTGGGCATCCGTGTAGAACACCAGCCCACTGCCACCCTCCACTCACCTCCCTCCTTCTCCTGCCAGTACTGGGCGTCTGTGTAGAACACCAGCCCTCTGCCACCCTTCACTCACCTCCCTCCTTCTCCTGCCAGTACTGGGCGTCTGTGTAGAACACCAGCCCTCTGCCACCCTCCGCTCACCTCCCTCCTTCTCCTGCCAGTACTGGGCGTCTGTGTAGAACACCAGCCCTCTGCCACCCTTCACTCACCTCCCTCCTTCTCCTGCCAGTACTGGGCGTCTGTGTAGAACACCAGCCCTCTGCCACCCTTCACTCACCTCCCTCCTTCTCCTGCCAGTACTGGGCGTCCGTGTAGAACACCAGCCCACTGCCACCCTCCACTCACCTCCCTCCTTCTCCTGCCAGTACTGGGCATCCGTGTAGAACACCAGCCCTCTGCCACCCTCCACTCACCTCCCTCCTTTTCCTGCCAGTACTGGGCATCCATGTAAAACACCAGCCCACTGCCACCCTCTACTCGCCTCCCTCCTTCTCCTGCCAGTACTTGGCGTTCTTGTAAAACACCAGCCCACTGCCACCCTCCACTCACCTCCCTCCTTCTCCGGCCAGTACTGGGCGTCTGTGTAGAACACCAGCCCTCTGCCACCCTCCACTCACCTCCCTCCTTCTCCTGCCAGTACTGGGCGTCCTTGTAAAACACCAGCCCACTGCCACCCTCCACTCACCTCCCTCCTTCTCCTGCCAGTACTGGGCGTCCTTGTAAAACACCAGCCCACTGCCACCCTCCACTCACCTCCCTCCTTCTCCTGCCAGTACTGGGCGTCCGTGTAGAACACCAGCCCACTGCCACCCTTCTCCCACTTAAGTTCAATCTCCTCCTCAAACAGCCTCTCTTTCAGTCTCTCCTGGTTGTCAGGGTCGTCAGCGACGGCTTCGTGTCTCTCCCATTCCTCGCAGGAATCATTGTCCTGAAAACACATACATATACAACTTTCAATACTTTAAACAAAAACTTTTCACAGTACTCAACCAAATCACTGAAAGGAACATCAATAAGGAGTCTGAAATGTTCAACCACATCGGGATTTGAACTGTTGGGAGTCATGCCAATCTGACAATCATGCCAATCTGACAATCATGCCAATCTGACAATCATGCCAATCTGACAATCATGCCAATCTGACAATCATGCCAATCTGCCAATCATGCAAATCTGACAATCATGCCAATCTGCCAATACTATTGTTTTAGTATAGCATTGCAGCTTATTTTGGGATGAAAACTTTAGTGAAACCAATGATCATGATCGTGTGTTGACAGCATACCCATGTGACACACATTTGCATAACGACTTGCAGCACCTTGTATGATTGGGACACCTGCCCCTCGGTGACTACTGCCGAAGAGCATTTTGAAATGAAAATGAAAAAGTCGCTGACCAAAAATTCAAAACATTTACAAAATTAATCAGTCTGATAAAAATTTCACCTCATTTGAATCATCTTGCTGCATCATCATTTTTTCCTCTATCTTTTCATCCATCAGCTCCTTTGTCTTCTTCCTCTCTAGTTTCTTCCTTGCTTTCTTCTCCTTTCTTGACAACTCCTTTTCTCCATCCTTCCTCTGTTCCTCATCCTGAATCAAAGTGGACCCCTCCACGTTCCCTAAGGACCCATCAACACTGACAAGTTCATGACCCTCTCCCGTGTAAACTGTCCAATCAGCTTCCTCCTCATCTACAGAGTTACCATGACTACGATAAGACCTAGGGCCAGTATACTCGTAAGGAACACTACCATATTTCCGGTTGGTGCGAGTTTTGGGGAAGGACAACCCCAGTTTCTTTATCACTGACGGTGGAGTCGACACTCTTTGATAAAATCGAGAAAGTCCTTTGTGGGTGTACCAACATTTCCATTTGGCATGATGTCTGGTGGATGCAACTCTGGCAAGCTCAGGAGATCAGATGATGTGAAGTCTCTGCTGTCAGATGGAGTTAGTTTAATTTCTGATCTAGTTTTGTAAATTTTTTCACTCGGTTGGTCACCTGAAAAAGAGAATAATATGAATTAAGTATAGCACTTCTTTGAATAGCATTTCAGTTTAATCATCCCAAACTGGTTTCCATGGAATTAGTGCTTGAGTGACTCAGCAAATAAATTCCAGGAGATATTGCTACAAACAGGATAGTGAACTGCATCACAATGCTTTGTACACTATAGTAATGTTGGTTCATTAGTTTGTGGTGTAACGCCAAACTCAACAATATTCCAGCAATATGGCAGTTGTCATAAATAATCGAGTCTGGACCAGACAATCCAATGATCAACAGCAAGAGCATCAATCTTTGCAAATGGGATACAATGACTTGTGTAAGTTAGTACCGTAAGCCAAGTCAGTGAGTCTGACCACCCGATCCTGTTAGTCGCCTCTTACAACAAGCATGGGATGCTGAAGGGAACAGGTCAAAATGGCCACACAACAAAAATGGCCACACTGACCCTAGTCAAAATGGCCACACAAAAAGTCAAAATGGCCACAACCCCTAGTCAAAATGGCCTTACCAAAAAGTCAAAATGGCCATAGAAAAAGTCAAAATGGCCATACATTATTTATTTTCAGATTAATGAGCATTGTTCTTGAAATGCTTTTGTCATTTTTACACCTTGATATCAAATAATGTAACATGGGAAAATGGTATGAGTATTAAAAATTAAAAAATAATGTATGGCCATTTTGACTTTTTCTATGGCCATTTTGATTTTTGATGTTTTTGATGTGGCTTTTTATTTTGACTTTTTTATTTTGACTGGGACCCTGCTGAAGACCAATTCTAACCTGGATCTTCACTGGTCTATTGTGATGTACCTGGAATCTCGTTGAGTGCAGCGTGAAACAACAAACAAGCAAACAAGTTTTAATGAGAACAGGTGGTTAGCACTTGGTCTGAGCATTTAGTTGTGGACCAAAGTCGTGGATCACAGTGTCAAACACTGCATGGACAAAAGGTTTGTCCACACAAATGTATTGTCTATTCATTGTTTATTCATTGTACTGATTTATTGTACTGTTAACAAGACAGGTTATTAGGTTTCAGTTTGTGTACATGCGAACAGTTCGTGAAAACACACGTGACAACAACTTATTTCACGAAAAGCTCGAGCATGCAAAAAGCATGCGTTTTAGCAGGGTGCAGGGTTCGAAGTGAAATTGTAGTAAGTTTATTTCAATATGTTAATAAGGCAGTTGAGATTGTCAGTTGGTGGTGGTCATTTAGGTGTTAGATTGTTTGACAGAAGTTTAGTGTAATAGAAAGTTAGGAATGTAATAATTGTAAATGAAATAAAAGGTAAATAAAGACAAATATTAGATTCTGATTTAGTGGTTTCGTTTGATATCACAGCTAGTACAGTTCCTGCTGACCACTAGATTTCATAGACTTGTATATCTATAGGCCGGTTATAATCTATCTACAGCTGGACGGTTTGCTGCATGTGGGCTAACTGTTTCAAACATTCCGTCTGAAGCTGTTACTAGTTTGCACGATGCCCTTACTAAACTTCATTTTGTGACATTATGCTTTCTGACTTACCGTCTTCAGTCAGTTTAATTTTAGTTATATGGCAATAACTTGGGATAGAATCGCCATTCCTGTCCAGCCAATGTTTTCTGTGATACATTTTGATAAGTGTCAACAACTTGTCAGCTTTGAGCCGGACAACACAACAAGTTGTTCCCTTCCTTACTGGATCCCTGGTACATGGCGACTGTTTCACTTCAGTCTCTTGTTCCGGAATTTTCATCGTTTGTGTTTCTGGCCTATGACGAAAATGAAAACAATCAAAACCACGGGTTTCAATAAACTGTGAAAAATAGTTCCTGATGTCTTTGGAATGGTAATCCGGAGGTATATTGTTGATAATTGCATATACCATGCTTTCACTTTGTTTATGTTTCTCTTTGGCTGCCATTTTTTCTGTACGGTGATGAGCGACTTTTGATCCTTGCACAATACAAGGTCGAAATGGGGAAATTTCACGCCTAGTTATCAACTAATATGTCTGTAGATTGACTGGCATCGTATAAATATCCATGTATACTGAATGTTTACGCTAAACAACCGAAAATATATTTCTGTGTAATATAGATGTATGACAAATCACCTGACAGTCAAGTACAAATGATTGCGTATAATTTTTCATTTAACACCGTTCAGGGGAAAACCCTACGTCTGACATACGTCATTCGGTATTTATTTTTAGAACGGCTCAGTCCATCTTGAGAATAACATATATTGTAAAATCTATCAGGCGGCTTCTGTCGATAAAATATGTTTCAAAAAGCCATAGTTTTACATTGTACGATGAAATTATTATCTGCAGAGTGCAAGAAACGTAAGACTCGCCCTACACTCCGGTCACAAACGCATGTTAAATTTTAAATGCAGCTTACAACCCCTGCAGGTAAAACTATGAGTACATCCCATATGGATAGTATATTCAAGACAACTAGTATCATATCCGCACGGATTCAACGGACCTTCCCGTGAAAACTTTCGAACTTATCAAGACGTTATGAAAAAGTCAGGCTTAAATTTGCTTTCTGCTTTGAACCACTCTCCCTCATAATGAATAATTCTAACAGCCAATTTATGCAAAACATTTCCTAACTTATTTTAATCTCGTTGTTCATGACAATATGACCTATAAACGTTGTTAAGTATTGACATAGGGCACGAGTGATGTTGGGCTGACAATGGAAATGTTTGGAAGACATTCCTGACCCACTAAGACCATTAATTCTTTTATAATGAATCTTCAATAATGAAAAAAGGAATATTGATGGATCATTACGTCCCGGTGTTTTAAAGACGATCAGAAATAAGTAATAGCTTAAATAAAAAAATAAAAACACTCGTCTATTGTCCCTTTCAATTTTAATGTATTGCATAAAAAACATAACTATTTCAAATTGTATCTTAAAAACGTACGAGAAGAAAAAAAAGAGAAAGAAACAGCATCTGGCCTTGTGGGTAAATAACTTTGCTGCAAGTGCAAAACATTTTGTTCATAATCTATGCGCGTGACATCTTGCTAATATAAAAATAAACAAACGTGCGTCAAACGCGTGTGCGTGTGTGTGTCCGATATAGATATGTTAGATACTATACACTATCCAAATCAAATACTGTAATATCCATAGCAACTTCACTGTAAATTATCATTCAAAAATGTTTTCGAATATATGTAGGGTATAGTGGTGGTCCGATTAATTGAAATAATCGAAGATTGGTCGCAGTGACTAAACGACCAAGCAATCGATCATGTTTTTTCATAATCGAACACAAACAATTCTGGAACACTTGTTGCATTAACAATGTATTTCACACGGTTGGTTTTGTCTGTTACATTTCATGAGCACTACAAGCTCGTCCAAGTCATGATTGAATTTATCTTAAAGACCCCCAAGAAATTTATGTTCCTAACATACAAGTCATCCTTTAAAGATGAGCAATTTGAAAAAAAAACCCCAAAACCCCCAAAGAACTACATAGTTTTTTCTTTATGTTTTTGTGCAAACAAACATAACCAGGAAAATCTGATAAATGATGCTAACCAATTATTTTCAATGATTGATCGGTTGTAATGAACCAATAGTCAATTAAGAGATTTTAACCAATTCCCAACACTAGGGCATGGGATCTCTGGATACATTTCGAATTGGAATACATGTAGTTTGCCTATCAACAGACATATATATGAGAGCAAACCTCGGGAATAGCAAGATATAATCTTTCAATCCAAATGTCGATAGTCTAACAAAATGTCTTCAGGGTGTTTTTAGGTGGAGATACAAAAACAATATATCTACCACTAAATGGAAAACTGATATTCTCGAGTAGAATATATAGCGTCTATCAACGATTTATTTAGCTGATTTCTAGCAGGGTCGGTTTTCAAGGTTCATTACCTTGACATGCACTGTTTTCTGTGGAAGTAATTATTTTCAGTTAATGAACACATTTAGTTAAAGAAGCCCACACCAGATACTCTTACAGAGTCAGAGAGTGTGTACTAGCCAGTAAAATAAACCCCGCAAATTTGACTAACCAACGCCAATGTAATGTATGTTGCATTAACTAATTGTAGGCATAGTTTACGATAATGGATTTTTTATGCAATAATATATTAATAATGTGTCAATTTATATAGCGCCAAAATCCACACCAGGTATGCCCATAGCGCTAGTTGGCCCGCCTTGGGCCGACTTTTAGGTCATCCCATTAAAAACCTTTCAAATGACTAGTTCTCACTTTGAACGTTCAACAGAGTACCTTATAAAACGACATAAAGCAGTTTCGAGGAAAGTACAATAATGGGATTAGTTTAAGTCACGTGGTCTATGTGAGTCAGATTCCCGGCAAATTGATGAACGGAGCAGTGTGACAGTTGAGGTACATAGTCGCGACAACCCGGAACTGAATACACCAGTGGCAGCGTGACATTCAGATATCAACGTCTTAATTGGATTATTCTTGACAGGTAAGGTTCATTGATTGAAAAGAATAACTCGATTGTAGTCTAAGAATTCACGTGCCGGCCCGGGACAGATGGGTGATATTTTTGACAGAACCAGTTGCATGTGCTCGTACTCTAGGCAAACTTCGCCGGCAAGAATGAAGAAGAAGTGCAGGATCAAATATTGACCTACTGCACTGAGCGGTTTACAAGTCTCGTGCTTCTCTAGGAGTAGCTTCTGTCTTAAACCGGTGGACATGACCCACGTGGATGTGTCATCCACGAGTCACACTTGTCAGTGCCAGCATAAACAGAACCAGATAAGGCCCAATGTCTACAGACTACAAAATCAATAGGGCTAGAACGGAAATAAAAATCAATAAATCAATTGCTTAAAGTCGAAACTGTCAAATCGGAACCTATAATTTATTATTTTGAGCTAATTTTCAATGGAGAGGAATTCGGAAATTTCAGTGGATTACTCATAATAATTTATTTTGAATGTATCATGTTTGGCAATTTCATTCAATATTTATCATCTACACAATCTACTGTCTCAAACTGTGGGATTTGATGTCATATCTTGTTCCCTAATCAAATCCATTATCACATATTTCATCATCATCATCATCATCATCATCATCATCACCGCCACCAATACATGTTTGACTCATAATTAGTAAAGTAAATATGAAAAATGTTTTGGTAACAACTAGATGCAAAATAATAAATAAAATACTGTGGCATACTCCATCTACACATTTTCTTTTGAATCAAAAAATGAAATCTGTATTTAGCATATTTGGAATCATTGTAAGGAACAATGTTTTAGATCAGGAATTTAAAAAAAATCAAAACAATCTTGGCCCAGAATTGTGGTCATAGTAATGTAAGACACTGAAAATGTTTTTACAGAGTTGTGTCCCTTGTATGCCAGGATCAGCTTAATATGTAGAATAATCTATAACTGAGTGAAATATTGGCATAAGCAGCCTGTGCCCAAACCTTTTGAATCTGCTTGCCTGATCATATATTTTGATGTTATTGTAGAGCTATTCATAATTGGGCATGTTATGATCATTCACTTATGTATTTGCTCAATCAACCGGTATCCCTTCATGAATTCAATTAATTATTCATAATCACTTGAATCACAAATTCATTCATTTATTTAATTCAATAGGGATGTGGTGACTGGTCATTGTGTTGATAAATTAGCACTGACATCATGGTCAAACAGGTTGAAGAATTTATTTTGTTATTGTTTCGCTGAATATAATAAATAATACCTATTCTGCTTACTTGTTACCCAGTATTCTTTATCAGGGTTTGAAATACCCCATATATTAGTGTGCCATGGCACGGTGAATATTGAAATGGCACGGCTAAAAAATGTTCTCTGTGCCCTTTTGACACGCCTAATGTTTAAGAGACATAACTCACATTTAGTCATTTAATCCCCAAAACAATTATTTTTTTCCAAATTGAATAATACCATACATATTTGAATGCTCATAAACCGATTTCGTTATTTAACAATAAATTATAAATGATCATCATCATTGTCATTTATTCTAAAAACATGTGGGCATACTCGATTTCTGAAAGACACACCTAGAATATTTGTCTGGTGCCCTAAGGCACATTTAGAAAAAAAGTATTTCTATCCCTGAATTTATAATGATATACATCATCTTTACCTCACTGGATTTATTGCAGCTCCAATAGTTATTAGTCTAAAGAGATTGTCAAGTTAAAATACTGATCATACTGTACCAAACCTTTGAGACAGGTGGATAAAGTCTGGTTGCATGGTATAAACCATCATTTAAAAACTGACTAACTTAGGGCAGGCGTCTGGCAGCTACATCCGTTTTAATATCTTTTTTCCCCCATGAAGATCAGGATTAAAATTGGTTTTTAGCAACCATACCTGTCTTGAGAGACAACTAACAGGTGTGGTGGTCAGGCTCACTGACTTGTTTGACACATGTCATTGTATCCTTTGTGTAGATCAATGCTCATGATGTTGATCACGGGATTGTCTGGTCCAGTCTAAATTATTTACAGACCACCGCCATATAGCTGGAGTATGCTGAGTGCCCCATTATACAACAAAATGACATTTTCAGGCCATTTATTTTTCTTATTTCTTTCTCCAAAGAATAAGAATAATATGAAACATTAATTTGTGTATGTTATTTTATCGAGTTTTTTAAGGATAATGAAAAAAACAACACCAGTGCCAAATATAATTTTGTCTCCACATCTTGGCTGACAGAGCAAGAAAATATATACAAAAGATAAAATTGATGTTGCTTGACATGTTATGTCTATTAACATGTTCAACCGAACATGCTTGGAATATCTCATATATGGCTGTGTAAATTAAATATAGAGTTAATAGTTGTTACTCAACCAAACCCAACGCCATCAAGTACACGAAATGCTTTTCTGGTAATATTGGGATTGGCTTAATGTCGTTTTCAATCACTGCTTTGTGGAATTGGTCGATTGTGATAGTATCGATGGAACAAATGGATTGTGCTAACATTTTTTAGTTTTCATGTAACCATGGAGACCACATGTGCTGCTACAGAATTCAACTTGGAATAATGCTGCAGTATTG